TTGTTTTGGCACCGTTTTTGCAGCACAAGCAATCGAAGTCTCAAGCATTAATATTTTTATCTCCTTTTGTCCACATTTTCCACTGTCTCTTCGCCCCTATTGGTCGCAGCGTGATGTAATATAGCCTACGGCTTTACGATAAATGGTCTATCTAACACAGAAATAATTATTCAATTCCAACAACCAGTCCCTTAGACCAACACGTCTAAACAAACAAATTCTAGCATAGATTCTCAAATATATTTTCAACTTGATTGCATTCAAATGAAGTGGTGGATCAATGTTGAGTGTATGTAATACAAGGCTGTTGATATGGAGACCCATATCGGTAATCAAGTGCAAACAATCCAGAAGGCTGCTTCAATTGCCATTCAAAGATAATCTCAAGTGAACCATTTATATTGGAAATGGTAAAAGTAATATCGTAAAAACCGATTTCGTTTTTACGAATCTGAGATTCTTAAACTATAATATCTTTGACATTTACCAAGTTTTTGTCGAAATAGTTATCAGATTATATATAATGGTCGTGTTGTACGCTCTCGGACTTTTTAGCAGGATCCGGAGTTCGATTTCCGTTTTGAGCTATGCGAAAATTAAAACAATAGTATAATAGATTAAATGTCGTAATCTATGGGCCATGGGTTCGATTCCCAACGGGTTCAATATGTTTTTAATCAATTTATTTATTTTTTTTTGTTTTAAACATAGGCTGTTGGAAATCTGGATATTAAATAAGTGGTAGGCATATCGAAATTCCGTCCGGGCCACAAACCAGAAAAGGCCATGAATTTCCGAATATCCAAATCCAAAACAGGTCTACATGGCTCATCTTGTTTAGATGTTATATGGTTGGCAAACCTTCCATCAAGTAAACCGCGAGCTTGTCTGTCCACTTCTATCATAAAAAATATACCCATGCAGTCGCCACGGAAACGAGAAAGAAACGAACTCTTGAGGAAACTACCAATGCCACAGGATCTGAACTGAACTTGACAATGATCAAACTTATCACGCGATGTCTAGGCTACACTTATCTAGAACCTGATTAGGTGCACTGATGTTAGTAAATTGCTTCCAATGCACGTAACCTGCTATCAAAATAGTTTGAGATCCACACGATTTCGTATGTAAGAGTAAACGTTACAGAATATCAAATAATTTGGTATTTTTTCGGGTTTGTTGATCTGATGGCAGCAATGTGTCGCTAATAAATGGGTCGTGGGTTCGATCCCCTACGGGTACAAAATTTTTCTAATCAATATATAATTTTTGTGTAACATAAAGGTCTTCGTCTGGAAATCTGGATATTAAATAGATGGTAGGACTATCGAAATATGGGTCCGGGTCCTGAACACCGTCCACCGATGAAAAAGCCGTAAAGATTAATCGCGTTTCGGTTTCAGTCTGTGGATTTCCGATTATCCAAAGCCTAAATAGGTCGACAGCACATCTTGTTTAGATGTTATATGGCTGTGGATATTTCACCTACCATCAAGAGAACCCTATGCTTGTCTGTCCCCCTCTAGGGTTAAAAAAAACAATATTCTTGTTAAAAAATTAAGTAAAACATATTAGTTAAACTATTTGAAAATGATTTTTAAACGCATGTTCGGATGCTTGCAGAGCCGTGGTCTCCCCGGACCTGGTGAGGATTTATTTAAATTTATACATTAAGTATTTAATATTCTAGCTACTAATAATATAGTGTAGATATGTATTTACAAAGTGGTCTACAAAAGGTTTAATATGTTGATGAAATAATGCGGCTACACATCCGTGGCGACGATAAACGACTTGGTGTGCATGGGGCCCTTATAATTTAACTTCTTTATACGATTTACTTGAACCACGTGTTCGTGCGGTAGTTGTTCATTAAGCAGTTGAACTTTTAGGATTCATTCCGACACTTCGTCACAATTTTAACCCACATTTCCGCATGACTCATTATTGTGTTGAGGATCAGACGGCTGTAGTTTATTTGTAACGGTTTAAAACGCGACATGTATTGCTTTAAATATTTTTAACACGCCTTGAAGTGTTAGATGTAGCAAGTTTTGGATGAGCAGTTTTCATATTGTATAATAATATTAAGTGTTGGCTGCAGTTTCTTTGTAACGGTTTAAAACGCGACATGTATTGCTTGAAATATTTTTAACACGCCTTGAAGTTCTAGATATACAAGTAGAACAATAATCGCATATCCAAAACCATGTACATGCTCTATCAATAACTGTTGTTTACGCGACCATTTTTAACGGTTTAAAACCGGACAGCGAGTCAGTAATGAATGAATAAAGTGCGGTCGAGGGCATAAAAGTCTAACCACATCGTTCACTCAAAGTTATAATACTAATAATAATAGAGAAACAGTTAATTTTCTGTATATCAAAAATGTAATGGAGACGCGTATGAGATAGCGCGTTATAATTATATGTATTATTACTAAGATACTTGTCACGTGCAAAGCAATCTTGGTTTATGATAAAAATATTTAATTAGGAAATAAGTAACATAGATTTAAGGTTAATAGTTCAAGTATTTTTATTTGAGAGCGTGATAATATAAAAAAAATGAAATTATCGATCAATAGTTTTATAATTAAATAGTTTAAGAGATTGTTAACTTATGTACATTTTATTTTAAATCTGATCAAATGTTTTGGATGCTTTGCAGTTACCCTCCCTCCCCCGTGACCACGGCTGCTGCAACGCATCGGAAGCGTAGGGACGTAGTTTAAATAAATTTTCTATAAGTTGATATTTCGCTTTTTAAACTGTTAAAAGTGTTTTATTTCAATGTGTACTGCTCGCGTAAGCTCATACAAAATTTAAGTATTATGTTGTTTAAATAATGCCTGTATTCTATCGTACATGTAACTTACGCGTATGGTATACATTAAATAAAACGCTTTTAACGGTTTGAAATGCGAATTTTGTATTTTTTACTGATATTACAGTAGCAGTTTATTAATCACATTTTATTCCCAAATATATGTATACTTTAATCATTTTTTGTTTAAAATCACATGTTAAACATAAGAATCATAAAACGCATTACAACAAAAATTCGCTAGTTTGAACAGTGATAAACGAAGAGGGAATTAACTTAGCACCTCAAAATCACATGATCAAAACTTATACGATAACAAATTAGATCGCTGTTAGCATTTCTGCTAATTTCCCTAACGAAGGGTAAACAGCCCGTCACGTTTGATTATGGTGAAATGATGAATCAATACTGGTGATGCTTTGCATAGTTGTTCATATTCTTGTATAAGAGAAAGTATATACTCTATATATAATATTTTTAACGTAACGTAATTAACGATGGACCAACGTTTTGTCTCCCCGTGACCACGGCGGCCATAGTTAAAATAATTTTCAAACAAGTTTAACAAATATATATCGCGTTTTAAACCGTTAAACTGTTGTATTTATGTACTTGCGCAAACTACAGGCAGAATATATTTATGCTTAATTTTAAGTTGCTAAAATGTACGAGTAGTACACATAAATAAAACACTTGAACGGTTCAAAACTCGAAATCTTTTAGGTAAATTGATTTGTAACGACCCGACTTTTCGGATGGTTTGAGCAGCCGTGGTCACGGGGATACAAAAACGACAGCGACAACAAAATCATTTCTCATGTACAACATATTATTTGTTTTTTCACATCGTCTTTTATATAGCTCTAAGTACTATACAAGACACACTTCTGCGTCCAAAAATTATAGAAAATGTTCATCTTCTTATTGAGAACACAAGTTTATTTTGATCTGTTTGAATTTACGACTTAAGTCGAATAATATCTATGAGAAGCACTCTTGGCCATGGTAGACGTCTTAACTTAAATTGTCTAAGTCGTCTAAAATAAATTGTGCCAAAGATTGTTTTCTAGTAATTAAAATGTAAATTTAGATTGAAAAAAAAAATACGGCAAGACCGGGACATGAACCGGTATCCACACGGTTCCGAGCTGCGTCTCTTTCAATCTAAATAACATTTTCGTGCAATAAAATGTGAAAAGCTCAAATTAAAAAGTACTCAGCGGGTTCTTTTCCTGTGTTAATTGCTAACAAAATGCGCTAAGGCCACAATGTACACATCACGTGCAATGACGTAAGTTTGATTGATTTTGTGCGAGCAAATATTTTCGTATGATAAAATCTTGTACTTTTACCGTCAACAAGCGTTTTATGATAAAGATTCAAAACTGCAATTTAATATTTCCCCTTTTTGTGACAGACAACCATTTTACTTGATGAAGAAGAACTTCCTAGCTAATCAAAGCGCAAATTTACACTCGCTTTTTCACCTATACCCGTTGGTTTGTGACTCGGACAGAATTTTGCACACCCAATATGACCAGTGATAGCATTTGATGACTCACGACCATCGGGTTGTGGATTCGACTATCATCGCATCATACATGTTTGTAAATCTTTTTCTGCTGAAGACATGTGGAAAATACTTTAAATTTTAATATTGCCGAAATTCCGTCCGGGTCAAGACCCACCGTTTATAGACGGAAAGCCGGATTCAATTTACGGATTTCCAATCGGTTCGACGAAGTCAATATCGTAGCGTATCTTAATTTCATTGTATATGGTAGGAGTCTTTTATATAACCTATAGCCAAATGGTTAAACGTGTTGCCTAGCATTGCGTTACGGGCGAGAGTTCGAAACCCAAGGAAACAAAAAAATAATGTTTCGGTCGGGCAAGGCACAATGATCTGATCAACCTTGCCTGTTAAAGAACGGATCCGTGAAACGGACATAGAAATGTGTTCGCCCCCATGCCCCACGGGGGGAAACGGGAACTCACACATACACACACACACTTTTACATAAAGCGAACCCTATGCTTATATGTTCTTATGATACTGGGAATAAACAGTGTCCGTTGCGAAGGGCAAATTTAAGGATCATGATTTATAACCGATCACTTGAACGCTCCCTGCCCCACGTCCCATGATGGGGTAATTTCTTACTTACCAAAGTACTCAAGTAATGGTGACCTATCTCCTCCTCGGATGTATCTCCAGACACGAGTCTTTGTTGCTTCCGCCATTTCACCATATCTATGCCACTTTTCACTGCACGTTAAGGCTTTCAAGAACAGGTGCGCGCGAAAAAATATATAATAAACTTTAAGTCTAGAAAAAGTGTTTCAAATTTACATAAGTAAATGAATGTAAAGATTATTTACATATGAACTATTTGTTAAGTATGTTTTAAACGTAATTTTTATCCATACAATCAATGGAAACACGGATTTGTTAGGCTAGGTATGACACAGTTTTTTTATTAAACCCAATATTTGATCAAAACTAACGATAAAGCAATAAAAAATATTTTAGACTTTAATTTTAATTAAAAACCGATTGTAAATTTTTAAAAAAAGTTCATTTTTTTTACACATACAGCGAACCACTACACTGCACTATTTCTTTGTATTTTTTTTTTGTTATTTCATTAGTTTTTTTGCCCGTCTCTCGCCGTATGAGCAGGTGGACTGCTCTGGTCCTACTTTACTCCCGCGGTCTGAAATTCTGAAACTTAAGACGCGGACTCACTAGACGGCCGTTTAGTCATAAGTAGACGTAATTGCTACGTCAGTTGGACATATACGGTCCAGGTTTTACCCGTTCAGCAAAATAATATAGTGACATTATAGTGGGTATTTTCATCCAGTAATTCATATGATGATCAACAAACACTAAGGCAATAAATAACATTATGGTTAGAAAGAATGGTATTCTTCACGGTACGTAACTTTTTCCTTTCATCAATTATGTGTTGTCTAAACATAATCGATCGTAAAGTACGTGTGTGTATCTAACATTTTATAGAAGAATTTTTTTAGAGGACAAGTATCCGTTTCACTTGATGGAATGTGAACCCCCAGGCATATTACATAAAAATAAGATGCGATGTCGCATTTTGGCTTCGTATGTATTTTTACTAGTATTTTTTTAAAAAGCGGGAAAACAAACGGATTAATAAGAAATGAATAAAGAAAAGCAACGTTTGGCGGTATAGAAAAAATATAGTAATTTACAGATTTAAAAAAATACCCAGGCAGGACTCGAACCCATTGCCTAATGAGTGAACTAATTGAATTATCATGACTTATCAGTGATCATCGAATTTACGATTAATATCGTATTTTCACGTTAATATAGAAAATGTAATGTTCAAATAAATATTTCTACATTCAGACACTGTACAGTGTGTATCGTCTTTAAATCCTCGTTACTAGACATCATTGGAGCACATTACCACAGTTTACGTTACAATTTAGAGCGTCCTCGAGTGTCGGTAATAATATCGATAATTCGCATCACTAATTATACTTGAATTTTGTGATATGCTCCGCGTGATTGTGAGTTTTTTTTATATGAATCATCTATATTTTTCGCCTAGACTTTCTTAACAGAGTACGACATACAAGAAACTGCATGTTATATAATTATTTGTTAAAAAGCAACCCTCTAACGTCTCGTCCCCCCCAAGCCCCTCTAAAATGTTTATTTAATTTAATTAGTAAGTACAAATACAACTAAGTGTATTGTGTATAAATGCTAAGTATAATTTTAAAAAATGTTGTTAGTTGTTACAGCGACAACAGAAATAAACAATTTGTAAAAATAAAAATTTTCCAAAGACTGACAGAACGGAAGCGAAAACTGTATGATTTGGGTACGGAACCCTAAAAAGCATGAAAATATAAATAAAGAATGTTAAGATATTTCTACAATATTTCATAATAAAGTATTATTACTCGCAAGAAATGTCACCTTAGACATATCTTAAATATGAAATCGTGCGGAAGTTACAAGGTCATGGACTAGGGCGTCACAGTTCCATTGTCTTCAACGGGACGGGATAATTATTGCCTTAACTATACGTATCAATGGAAGCCATCTACGTTAGGATAATGGATACTATAATTTAATATATGCTACGTGCGTTTATACCAAATGTGTTAAAGTTTTGACGGGGTAGACAAATTTGTGTCTGCGTATATTTTATACTTTCTCAATATAATTTAAATCGAAGAGTAACGAAATGCCTCGTAACCATTGAGTAACTTCATATAAAAAACATTACTATTATTAAGGGATCTAGAACTGTTTATGTGCACTGTATGACTATTACAATATTGTTACGTTGTGCTTGTCTGTGTATTAATAAAACTCGATATTTACTAGACAATGCGATGTTGTTTCTTTTAATGTTGTCGTAGACGATAAATTTCGCTAAATATGTTATCCTTACTAATTTCTCAAGTTTAACTTTATAATAGGAACTGTGACGTGACGTTAAAAATTGTGGAGACGAATCATATTCCCCATTATTGGTGTCACAGGAAAATGACCGATAGATTCTGCTAGTCTTCGATATAATACTTCGGTAGATCTTAAGGAGAACGTATTTTTTTTTTCATAAATTTAGAGGAGATCGGGAGATCGGTTCCCTGTCAGCATTAAAATACTTTTATTTGACATAACGGACTTTACGTTAAACGAAATGAACAGATAGAACTTAGTATACTCATTTGGTCACTGTCGTAGGCCCTCTCCTCCTTAGTCCCAGCAGTGGGATTAATTAAAAAGTTAATAAATAAAAAAGTTGAAATATTTATTTATAACTAGGAAAAGCGGCGCAAGAGTTGTGTACATTATGCAGTAATTATGCAGCACCATGGTTGTCTCAAGGAAAATCTAAACAAATTCTATCTATAGATAATTACTATTCTCAAATCTCAATTTCAAATACACGACTAATATCGACACAAATAATAACTAATTTTCTTATATAAATAGGCTTTCGCGTCTATCTTGCAAATCTATACATGGATTTTCGACCTGTTCGGCCGTCGTAATTAAGAAATGTTTCTCGACTTCTACCATCTAGTGGATAAAGCCCAAGTGATTTTATAAACCTATACTCATATATAAGGCTGAAGAGTTTGTTTGTTTGTTTGTTTGAACTCGCGAATCTCAGGAACTACTGGATCGAATTGAGAAATTATTTTTATGTCGGTTAGAACATTAAACGAGCGCTATAAAACTGCGTTAGGTTATAGCGCTAAAAAACAGTGGGAAACGTGGCAAAAATGGGGGAAATTATGCATTATAGTGGGTTTCCGAATTTCGATGCGTGCGCTGCGAAAACTGTTCCAGATACCAAAAAAAATATGACTTAAAGAAAAATGTCTCTTTAAATAATCTAAAAAGATGCCAGCGACATTATACGCCTATCTTTTAAAATTAAGGTAACAGTTTAAACTTGTAAAGATGAAGAGAACGTTTGCAAAAGCAAATCTGGGTGCCTAATATAGCTATTATTCGCGGACGAAGTCGCTGACACAGATAGTTTAGATTCTAATAAAGAAATTTAAATAAATTGAGTCGCAAACCGTAGCTGTCTTTAATTAATGGCGTCCTGTTGTGTTGAAATTTGCTTAATTCATTGAGGACGCAAAATTACAGAAATGTGAAAAGTCAAAACACTCTAAACAAAGTCATCATTTTAATTTCTAAAATTATATGATTCTTATCTGTCAACTTATCATGACACGGTAGGTCAATTGGTTAGAGCAACAGCACGTAACGCTGTGGGTGCCGGTTCCAGCCTGCCCGAGTCGTAAATTTATTTCAACTCAAATCAATTTTTAATTTATATAGTGCCATGATTTGCAATAACGTGTGAAAATATGAATGTTTTCAAATACCGAATGTCCAAAGCCAAAATAGGGCTCGATAGCGCATCTTAATTATGTTAAAGGATTATTTAATAGCTTTTACATCGAGTAAACCGTCTTGTAATGAAAAAGGATCAAATTGTAAATAGCTCTCGGATTGATTTTGCTAATTTTAAACGGTTTAATTAAGCTCGACCCGTACGGAATTTAAATAAAATCAATAACATTATAAATCTAAGATGGCCGTCGATACAAAATGGCGGATTACATATTTTTCCTTAACCCCCTCAATGTTTAAAACACATTGAGCGATAGAAATTTTAAAATTTTTGCCTCATTGGTGAACTAAGCTGACAGGCAAAATAGCCTAACTGCAATTTTATGACTTGACCTATTTATATTTTTCTAGTCTAAAAATATTAATTTACAATAATTCTTACACAAATTCATTTGCGCCTAACCTAATTGCGAAATTTTATTTTCCACCTTATTGAAAAAAAAAATGTCATTAGGCCACTCTGTCTTTAGCAGCCAATTAAGGTCGTGACTTCGAGACTTTTTCATTATATTTTTAGTAGTTTTTGAAATAACCAAGGCATTTTTTAAGAATTATGTTCGTAAGCATTTGATTTAAATTATGTACCTATGGTATCGTTTCTGTTCACAGCTGATAATACAAAATGGAACCCCGCAAGATTGCGTACCAAGTCGTCAAACGGTCACTTCCTTCTTACATATATCGCAAATTATAGGAACATAGGGTAAGAAGTCCAACTGTTCGTAATACACTGTCACAGTCCAGAGTGTTATAACTTAGAATCTATATGACCGCCTCTGTAACGAAATGGAACGTGTTGCCTAGCATTGCGTTAAGCACGAGAGGTCCTGGGTTCGAATGCTGGGGATAGAATGAATTGTTTCTCTCAATTCACTTACGCGAGTGGCAAAATAGAAAAATTTTAAGTAATTAAAACATTTAAAAATAAGTTAACCAATATATGCCGCGTTTTAAACTGTTACAAGGGTTACATTTAGATTTGGCATATTTCACCATACGATAGTAAAGTACTTAGAAATACTGTCATCACATTTGAATACAAAAATTAATAATAGTTATAATTTATTTTAGATATCTAAATATACCCGGTACTGTATTAAAGTTAAAACGATTTGTAAATAAAGAAAAATATTATATAGATTATTATAAAAATTAACATGTTCTACTACAGCTATAATCAATGTAACGCGACACAATAAATAAAACACTTCTAACAGTTCAAAATGCGAAATATATAAATGAATTTATTTTTATAATCTAATAATGTATTTTGTACAGTTTTGTACCGAATCCCCCGTAATTTATAATAAA